CGAAGAAAGAAGATCACTATGGCTATTCACCCAATAACTCTCTTTCACCACAGTTAATCAAGTGCTTATATACAAGCTATAATTAGAGACTGCCTGCAGTTGGCATTCAAAACATTTCTCAAATCTCATGGTAGTGAGAGTCTGGTGCATTAAGATTTTAATATATATTTTTAAAATTTTAAAAGCAACATTCTAATTCTGTAATTGAAATATTTTCTTGTTATCAGGAACCTTAGAAAGTTGAAATACATAAACATGTTCCATCCGTTTGATTTGGAATTCAAGAGGCACTGTAAGGAGGGGAAGCTACCAAACTACGTGGTCGTCGAGCAACGATTCTACGACCTGAAAATCTTTCCGGGGAACGACGACCACCCGTCTCACGACGTCTTCGAGGGCCAGAAGTTCATAAGGAAGTCTATGAAGCATTAAGAGCCAGTCCCCAATGGAATGAAATGTTGTTCATAATCATATATGATGAGCATGGTGGGTTCTTTGATCATGTCCCGACTCCAGTCACCGGAGTTCCTAGTCCCGACGGTATTGTGGGGCCGGAGCCATATAATTTTCAGTTTGATCGGTTAGGGGTTAGGGTTCCGGCCATCATTATCTCTCCATGGATTGAGAAAGGAACAGGTATGCATTTTGCCGAACACTCTGCTGTCTATGCTTTTTCTATGAATGAACAGAGGCAGCTGAATAGATACACCAGATGAATCAAAACTATTGAATTGTCAGTGGGTCATAATAATATTGGGACTTGTAATAAAATCAATAATAATGATCGATCAAAAAATCAATAATGATCGATCAAATTTACATTCGTAATATTACTTGTACATGAGTATCAGGATTTTGGTGAGACCTAGCATGTGATATGAAATCTGGATAGGGGCCTAGCCTGGGTATGGTGCTTATGTGGTGCCCATTTGCAGTATAAGGCTCGCGTTTAAGAACTTTAATCTAATACATGTACTAGTACTCGAGTTTTTGCCATCTTGGTTAGGGTTCCCAACATTGAAGCGTGGTGGATTATTAGAATCTCAGCTGAGACCTAGCTTGCATGTATGGAACCTAGTTGGGGCCCACCCGAGTTTACAATCTTTGGTCTATCTTATTCAGTCCTGAGAGTTTTGGCATATTGATTAGGGTTGCAATTCGGGGTTTAATACATTAAACTTTATCTTATATGTTTAAAGATTGTTTCAAGAATTGGAATGTATGACAATTAAATTAGAATAGAACGAACTTACGACTAAGCTCAAACCTGCCTTGCCTTTTCATTGAATAAGATAGCTAGAATCTAAACCCATTGCTACAGATATCTAACCTATAATGAAAATAAAAATGCAGTGTTACATGGACCTTCGGGGCCATACCCTACATCAGAATTTGAACATTCCTCAATTCCTGCAACTGTAAAGAAGATCTTCAATTTGCCAGAGTTTTTAACAAAGCGTGATGCATGGGCTGGCACTTTTGAGGATGTGTTGAGTAGAAATAGCCCAAGAACAGACTGTCCAGGTAAAATTTTCGAGCTTTATTCTCATGACTTTCATCATCATCTCTGTGGCATCTCTCTTCTCTTTTGGCAAATTATCATAGTTTCTCAAGTTTACCTCTAACTGTGATTATGAGGGTTTTATTTTTGGTAAGTGGGTGAATTTCATTAACAGAAGGAAATGTACAAAGTAGGGATGGCAGTTGATCGCGGCAGGGGACTAGGCTTCATCTTGTATCCATTTTAAAAATATTCGTTCAATCTCGTTAGCGGTGAAAATTTTAATCACTATCTCCGCCCTATGAGTAAATTTTGATCCTCGTTCCGGTCCCATTCCTGCTATTGTCTTCGTCCATAACAATTAATTTCTATGATTTTAAGAAAAAATTTGAAAAATTATATTATAAAAACCTCACAAATGATTTTGTAAGAAGGATGGAAGTCTATTATATAATAAATGGATAAAAAAAAAAGAAGAGAAAGTAAGGCATTTGTTTTTTTGTAAAGTGAAATGTGTGTGTGGATGAGGTTTGTGATATTATATATGTGTATTAATAAGTGGGTGGGAGGGTGGATGAGATTTGTATTTTTGTGATATACATATCACGGATTTAGCGGGGTAGAGAGGGGATGGGTTTCAGTTCATCTCCGCCTCTATTCGGGATTATACCAGTATCCTCATATACATCTATCGTCCAATACGTATAGTTTATCTCAATCCAAAAAGAGCGAGTTTGGATAAATACCTTTTTTTTCTGATTCATTGTCATACCCAATACAAAGATATACCCATTTACAAATGCAATTTGTATTATTTTATTTTTTTTGCATGTGATGATATAATCCAAGTTGTATGAAGTGTAGTAAATATTAGTTTTAGACCCTTGTTATACAATACATTCTAAAATCATGTGGGCCTTTTCTAAAATGAATAATTTTGTACAATACGGATTTGAGACATTACAATTTTATACATTTTTTTTAATAATTAGCGATGAGTTTTGAATAAGTATGTCCACACACACTTAACCAGTTCAAGTACCATAGCATTAGTTGTTATTTTGAAGTATTATAGACTTAAAACTTTGGTCGTTTCATGCTTGTTGCAGCAACATTGCCGGAACCTGTGAAATTCCGGGAAGCCGAGGCGGACGGAAACAGTAAGCTGAGTGAATTTCAAGGAGAGATGATACAAATGGCTGCAACATTGTGTGGAGACCATAGGAAGGACATTTACCCAGACAAACTGGTGGAGAACATGACTGTTTCTGAGGCTGTTGAGTATCTTAACAATGCATTCAAGAAATTCACAGATGAATGCGAGAAAGCTAAGGCAAATGGTGCAGATGAGTCAAGCATTTGTGTTCCAAAAGATGATGAACCTGATCATGTGCCTCCTCCTGCAAAGTCCAAGTCCATTGCTTCCAAGTTCTTCTCTTGTCTAGCTTGTGATCATCATTGATTAAATCTACAAATTTCTATTTTTATTTTCTTGGTATTTCAACGCTATCTATTCTAAATCAAGATAAACGAGAAGGGTTGTATTAGGTACTAGACAATCTACGTAAAATTTTGTCGAATTCACTATACACTACAAGAAATTTGTCATTTAACGGCAAAAATTATTGCTGCTAAATATATAAAAATTGTCATTATATATTTTAGAGACAACTTTTTTATTGCCACTAAGCCGCGGCTATATGTCTGTGGCTAAATCATTTAGTTACAACATTTAATTTGTTGCCACTAAAAATAAATTTTTTAACCGCAGCATAAAAAATGTTACTAAATATGAAATATTTAACCGCAATAATTATTATAGTAAATTACCGTAATTTTGCCACTAAAATGTACCTTATTACCACTAAAAATCCGATTAAAATTTGACTTTTAGTGGCAATAATTAATCACAACTAAAAATATATATTTTACCCATAACTAAAATCACTACTAAAATATAGAACATGTTTTTAATGACAACTTATTATCACGGTTAATACATTTAAATTAACAGGAAAAACCTATCACATATTTAAAAGAATTTTTTGTTGAATATTTCCCAATTTCACAAACCTATAATAATTTAATGAATATATATATACCTAATGAGGAAACAAACAACATAATAAACACTCACTTTCAAAGATATAATTTTTAAATCAAATCACGAGAAAATAATATTCTGATATTAGTATCATTAAATTGTACGTGTACATCGCATCATCATCAAAGAATATAAATGAACAAAATAGGTTATGATCTCCATTTCAAATTGTCATTGCAACTACACAATGATACCCACTCAAAAGAAAGTAATTACATAATAATCATCATAAAGTCTCGAGTCACAACTACATATTCTTTTTTGGAAAGGTTTTTGAATTTTTTTGTCTTTAGTCTTCGGAGGCGAGCCTTCCAAATCTGTTTTTAGAGCTTCCACTGATTTGTACCTAACAAAAATTACTCAACATTAATAGGAAGCACAAAGAGTATAACATATTAATAATCAACCATAGATTACATAGATCAAATAGAAATTTATCTACCATATAAACAATCAACCACAGATGACATAAGAATTTTTGTAACAATCCATTATATCTAAAGCAATTCAATCCTAAATAGAACATTCGTAAATTTTTAAGTGATAAAGAGATGTAGTGCTGGACTGGAAGCTGCTTAAAAGAAAGTTACCTGAACTTTTTAAAGATGTTTTTTCTTTTGTTCTCAGTTGAACTTATAAGATGTAAAAGGAAGAAACTTCTATTCTCACTATGAAGGATATTGTCTTACTAATTCTCATAATGTCCTTCCCCAGTATCGGTACATTTCAATGCTCTCCGAGTCGACGACCAACATCACGACCTTGAACTAGGGGTTGAACATGTAGCTTATGTGTAACTACTCAAAGATACATCAAAAGAGAAGAAACTAACAACATAGCATAGAACTGGAAACTCCCACCTTTGTTTGGGAACTGTAATAACATATGAAGCAACTTGCAAAGGATTGAGAACTCTTTTAAAAGGAAGAAAAACAGGGGGGAAAATGCAATAGATTACTATAGTAAATGTAGAAAATTTTAGAAAACCTGCCAATATGCATGCAGCTAGAGAACGGGGAGAACTATGAAGAACAGACGTCTCCTCCTTTTCATAGAGAATATCCATAATATTCATGCGTGTATCAAAGCTCAAGTGTTCCCCAACCCTTGCAACTCCCCTGAATTCACACAAAGTATAGAAGAAATGAAGCAAGTGACCCTATAAGGATTACATATTAATTGAAGGGATATCTAACAAAATGATTGTTCTAATGAAGAAAGAACCCACCCAGCCTGCTGCACAAAATTATAGAAAAAAAAAACCCACCATATACCAAAATCCATCAACGGTGGTTCAATGTAGTGCCTGTTCTTCTACAAGAAAAGTGGGCAATGAACCGAAAGAACTTTTTTCAACTGATTTCGTCAAATAAGCATAATCTTTTGAAATCACCACCAATTTATCTAGTGGTCTTGAGGACTGCTCAAATTAGAATGGGTTGCATGATAAAGGCAACAGCTCAAGCTTATGTTATGCCCAACAAAGCTCCAATTTATTGACATGAAAAATCTGTTTAATTGGTACAGTATGCACATTATAAATCTCAGAAAGGAAATGAGCAGAGGATCTTAGTCGTTTCAACTTGACTCGGGTATTATCCCGCTCATAGAGTCTATAAATAGTGTGAATAATGTATGAACTGAAATGTGAAAGATTATTCTAGGGATACCTGGCACATCTTTGATAGAACTCAAAACCCTTCTTCAAAACAAAGCTGAAAGATACAAATTTAACATTGTCAAATGCCAAAGAGCAAGGGTCATAAGCACAAACTAACAAATATACTACTAATCAATTTAGTACCTGTATTCGTCACTCATTCCATATGAGAAAACAATAACATTGAACTCCTCTAACACAGCAACTGCACATGAATTCATAAGGCACAGAGCTTGCTCATCATTGGGTTTCTCAAATTCATGAACTTCAGAAAATCTATTAAAAGCAATGAAAATAAATAATTGACTTTAAGCTGCAACATGAGCAGACAGACAAAACACAACACTCTATGCATCATAATTGACACTGGCATGGTTGGGGGATGTAACCAGTAATTTGTAATTTACATTCCCTGGACTTGAAACTCAAAAGTGATAGAACACTCTATCTTAATAATCTCATTTGCTTCACAGCCTTCACCCCAAAGATACAATAGCACTTCAACTAAATTACTCTACTTTATTCTGCACAAAATACTCTGATATCTTATCCTTTATGTTGAATCATGCTAGTACTGATCACTCAATTTGACATTTTCTAACCATTTTAACATTCCAACAAGAGCAAATCAAATTCTAGAGCTTAAACCACTTTTTGGCCCGTATAGTGAACATATTTTCCTGTTTAAAGAGCTAAATAAACTGACAAACATGATCACACTATAAAATTTCTGCGGGGGCTCTCATCAAAAAACGTGCCCAAATTCTTTCATTGACTGGCAAGCCTAGGAAAACATTGTTTGTTTGAGCCAGTGGAAGCAACAAAGAATTAAGTAGCTAAGCACAAGAAAACATTACCTGTGGAAATGGCAGCCATCGATTCGAATAACGATCCAATTAGTTAGGGTCAACTTGCTCTCAAATTGGAAAGACTCCAAGTACTTAGATCTGACTCCAAGTACTTAGATCTGACTCCAAGCAAACTGGAAAACGCTACCTTCATAAGGTGTTTCTGATGGCCCCTAAAAACACAACAAAGTCAAGCAACACCATAGCACAATCAATCTTTTCCGTCAATCCAAATCCAAAAGCATACATACCTTAATAAGAGCTGTCCATTTAAATATGTTGGAATCATCACAAACTAATTGAATATCTGGATCCACCGCTTTCTCCCTCTGAACCTCCTTGTATTCCTTGAAAAGCCTTGCTCTTGATGCCTGAACTTAGCATAAACACCATATATAGGGCAAAAGGCAGCATCAATTAATCACTGTTGCATTTACAAAAGAGGAGACATACACAACCAGCCATAAAAAGCATCCTAGTACCACAATAAAACACCGACTAACCTGCATCTTTAATTATACTCACTATCTTCTGATTCGATACAATTCAAAACTCGGACAAATCTGAATTCCAAAACAGCTGCATAACAAAAAAAGACACTTCAATCAATCACTCGACCACAATCGATCGATCGAGAGAAATCAGCAGACGAATACGAAGCTAATTTAAAGCCGTAGCTTAATACCTAATTTCTCAGAATCCAAACATTGTAAACGAATTAGAAAATTAGTTGCAAAATAGCTTCATCCTCTTCAGATCTGCTCTGCAATCACCGAGAGGATGAGAGAGATAAGGCTTTGTGCCCTAGCCGATCCTTGTGCTCGTGTCTGAGATAGAGGTTGCGAGAGAGAGAGGGGGCCAGTGTGCAAGAGAAAGAAAGGTCGAGAAAGAGAGAGAGAGAGAGAGGAGGAGAGTACACGTGAACTGAGCTCGTATATAAAGTTTCACGCAAAAACCATGGGAGTGCTGAGAATCAGCCGCAATAAAAAAAAATTGTGACTAAAAATAATTGCTTATCTAGGTAATTAGTGATAAAAAAAAATTATTGCCACTAAATTATTTTTCCATCAAGAATTAGTGACAAATAGTTAGCTTTTTAGCCATGACAATAAAACTGTCACTCATTAAATTTATTATATTATATATAGTGACAATAATTATTTTTAACACTAAAAATTTAAATTGTTGTCATTGAATATTTGGAATTAGTGGCGAATTAGTGATGTGTTTTTTGTCGTAACATTCAAATTGTCACTAACTATATTTACTACAATATCTTCAGTGACAATAATAATTTTTCACCACTAGTTATATATCTTTAGTGGCTATAAATAATTATGATCATTAAATAATTTGAATATCATATCCTCAGTGGTAATAATAATTTTTTGTCATTAAAGATATGTATTTAGTGACAATATTTTTAGCTATAATTTAAACCTAGCCCTAACGGCTAAAAGTACAATTTATTGTAGTGTATGATGAGTCCAACTAATAATTACGATATAATACTTAGTTTGGTTTGCTTATTCTTATTGATTTATTTTTAGCAAAATTGTACCTTTTACCTTATTGTATCAGGAGATTGATTTGTTTCGGTCCGTATATATGAATTTCTATGTGTCCAAAATATTTGAATGTAATCTGTAAAACATTTACATTTATTGGTTAGAGTCTTGTATGTGACCGATAAATAAATAAATGAATTGTATCGTAAATTTTTTTAATTAATTTCACTCGTATCCGATTCGGTTCAAGTCAACTCGTTTTCGACATAAATAACTTAAGAAAGACCTATAATTTTGTGTTGTGATTTTTCCAATAACGACATATTAAGGCTCGGACTGGTCTATTTTTTTTTGGGCCAGGTATTTATGGGCTCAAGGCCTTGCCATTATGAGCCCGTGCAAGGCCCGGATTTCACGTATGAGGGGTATACGTCACAGCCCAACTTTTGTGACCAAAATACTAAATTGTTCTTCAAGTCCATTAACAAGTCGAGGATTCACATAACACTTGTTGAGAGAGAACATGGAACTAGGGTCAATGATATTGAAAGAATTATAGCGAGGCATCTTCTCAGAACACCTTGTCGTAATAAGTGGAGTCTAAAAAAAATTTTTGTGGTAGTAACAACCCATTTCAAATAATATTTGCGGCACCAAATAAATTTTTTATGATAGTATTGTTGCCACAAAAAAATTGCTTTTTTTCAAAAATATACTTTTTTGTGACGGTGAATAAAAAAAAATGTCTCAAAAGACCCTAATTCTTATAATTTGAATCAAGCTTAAAAATACCAAAGGTCGGGTCAATTAATACCCTATTTGCATTGTTCAAATAAAAACAGAACAAACCAACAGACTTTTAGTTCAATGGTACTTTTTATCTTGTGAAGGTTATGCCTTTTTAAAATTAAGGGTTCAAATCCTCCCCCAAAAAAATAAAAAACAGAACAAAATTCAGTATTTGGATTGGAATAAGTTAAAATGAGAATCTATGGAGTAGGGTACCAAGTAGGTTATGCTGGACCAGACCCAGTGCACCTCAGCCTCTCTACTTACACACTTTGACTTGGTCAAGTCACAACAAGACACACTAACCCAAATATTATAACTCATCACTTTGTTGGCATGCCCATGCCATGCTAATGCATACCAGAAGAATGAAACACAATCTTAGACACAACACACAATATCTCTGTTTTTTAGTTAATTCATGCCAATTTTGATTGAGGCCTTTGTGTTGACCTTTTTCTCTTTGGCCCCAAGCCAATGGTTTTATAACTACAGAAATAAGGAGACTAGATGAACCGCACTTTTAAATTTATTTATTAATTTACTATAATTTTTTAAAACGGAATCAACAATTTTGTTTTTACTATGAAAATGGAATCAACAAGAACGCTATTAATCCTTACAAAAAAATATGTCTTTTTCTCTTTTTGTTGTATCACTTATTAAAAACAGAATTGGTGATTCTGTTTTCAAAAACTGTTACAGATCAATAAATAAATTGAAAAGTGCAGTAGGTCAATATTTTTGTTTAAAAATAACAATATTTTGGTAATAAGGTTTACCTTATCCTGATTGGTCAACATCCCAATAAAATCAAATAAAAAATTATTTAATCAAATACTATTAAATTTATCAATAAAAACACAAACATTTTTATTTTCACAGCAAAACTGGATAATTTTTATGTCGAAATTGAATTATTCGTATTTTATATCAACCCAATTTATTTATCCTCTTGAGTGTCTATGACATTTTTGAATTTTATATTAGTTATTAGATTAAATAAGAATTAAAGTATGATCCATTTGACCGGCCTAAAGCCGGTCATGATTGGAAGAAAAAAAAAAGTGGCCAACCAAGATGGAGAGAGCCAATGAGAAAAGCCCACGACAGCTCGAGGCGGTGTAGAAAGCAACTCACTACCAACTTTTTCTTTCGGGAAAGGTAGGATAATGACCCAAAACTTTGGTTCCAACAAAGCCAACTGATCAAGTCATCGTCACAATCAATTTTACGCTCTTGAAAATTTTTGGTACTATTTTTAAAAATTTTATTACATAAATGAATATTTTTATACGTTATTTTATAATAACATAATTTATTATTTTTATAGGTATTTTTATCACTTTTATGAAACTTGGGATCGATACTAACATTTTAGGATCGTACCACAAAAGTGGTAAAAACAAGGGCTTTTCACACTTCTTAGAAAAGATTTTAAGATTTTTACTATGTATTTTCTGATGGGTCAGGTTCAAGTGTTCAACTCATGTTTTCGAGTCTAGTAAAGATCTAGTATTTAGCCTAAAGGGGTCCACACCTGGTCAAGCTTGCCAAGAGCTCTTACTAACCATCTTGGAGTAGGGGTCATCTCAAATGCTTCATTCAAGTCACCCTGGAGTAAGGGTCATCCCAAGAGTCTCATTCACGCCGCCTTGAAAAAATCAACCACTACCTCATCTTTTGACCGAATCTTATGGAGAACACCGTAACTACCTCATCCGTTGAGAATAGGTCGCCGGCTCCACCAGATTAGTTATTTAGTTATTATTAAGTCATTCAAATCTGTTAAGAGATGATTATAAATTATAAGTTCCACCAACTCTTGGTGGTAAATCACATTCAGTCGAGCACAACTCTCATCTCCCTCTCAAAGTTTATAACTCTATATTCTCTCTACACACTTGAAGTATAAAATACCTGGCGACCTTAACAATTCAAAATGGACGTAGGTCACGTTGACCGAATTATTTTAAATCTTGTCTTGCTTATGTCTTTCTTAATTACCGTATTTATTATTACTCATCTGACAGGTGATGTATAAACTATATTTGTGCATCATCAATTTGGCGCCACTTATGGGAACGACAAAATTCTCACCAAATCTCTTCCTTTGTGGTACATATGGCGATCACTACCAGATCGATGAATCAGTCTGAAGGTAATCCATCACAAGAGGAAGAGGTTGTTTCTCCACCAACCAAACTTGTGTCAAATGTGCAGCAGATGCTGGAGACAATGCAGCCACTTGTGGCCCAAAATCAACAGATCCTACCACTCATGCTCATCGGACAAGGAGGAGCACAACCTGTTGGACCCCAAGCCAGATGAGCTCTAGGCCTTGCACTACAAGGAGCTCCGAGTGTCCCCTTGGGCACCCCACATAGGGAAGCTCCCCATGAGGGACCTCCACCTTCTCGTCGAGTTCCCGCTTCTCATGGTGGAGACATTTTTTCTAAAAGGATGAGGGTGAAAACCAAAGTGTTGAACATGGAAGTTATTTCTATGATAATTTCAAAGGAGCTCTCAATCACTGGGACAAAAAAATAAAGGAGGTGCAAAATTAACTGGGTAACGTCTTTAACGCCATGAAGGCGCAAGGACCCGAGACAATGAACTATCTTGTTAGGCGAATCGACACCCCCTTTCGTACTTGACATTGTGAACTACCCATTTCCCCAAAGTTCAAGATGTCATCCATCAAAATCTTTGATGGTACTAAAGACCTATTGTATCACCTCGAGACTTACAAGACCTTAATGCAACTACACAACGTCCCCGACGAAATTATATGTAGGGCTTTCCTAACCATC